GAAAAGGAAAAATACCAGATGGTTTCACCCATAGCAGGAGTATAAAGGACCAGGGGAGAAAATAATAATAAAAATGAACAGCAATATACCAGAGATATTTTATGGGGATGGAGTGGGGAATGGGATCAAAAATGGTGAGGGGAAGGAAATGCACTTGACTATGGTGATGGCACACGGGTGAATTGGTGGTAGGAAATCCACGGGGATTACAACTGAGATGGAAAAAGGCACAAAATGATGTAAAAAATCAACTATTATTAAAACAAAAACAAAAACACTTTCATTACAACGGAATGAAAAAATGAAAGCCACTAACAGAGTAAAGCTTCCTCTGGGAAAATGTCAGCCCAGACACAGCAGCACCTTTCTCTCTTCTGTCTTGTAGCCAATGGGGCAACTCTGTGGCTATTTCTCCACAGTAAATGCCATGGACCTGCCCGGAACGAAACCAGCCTGTCCAGCTAACCAGCAACACCAGGATGGCTGCTTTCTCCTGACAAGGTAACTGTGCACCGCTATTCCCCTGCTCTCTAACACCATGGATTTAGATTTCGCATCAGTGACTGATGTGAATCTGACTTGTATTGCTCTGAATCTGGGATTTGGGCCCATGGGGGGGGGGGTGCGAACTGGGCTGTTTTGGGGATCAGCGCGCTTCCCTGCAGTGGCCATCAGACATTGTTTTGAAACAGGCCCTGAGGCGCCACATCACAGTCCTGAGGGCCAGGGGATGGCAGGTGGGAAACTCACTCTTAGCGTCGCCCCAGTCGTCAGACTCGGGGGGCAGCTTTCGCAGGTAGTCCTTGAGGAGCAGCTCATAGCGGGGGATGCGCTGCACAGGCTCCAGCATGTGGTGCTGCAGCGTCAGGCTCCCACAGACCTTCTGCTTCTGTAACAAGAACCAGCAGCAGAGAAAGAGTTAAAGAGGAGCCTGGATGGCCTCAAGGCTCATGCTGGGGGGAGGGGGAAGCGACAATGTATCCCTACAAGAGTCTTGTGCTGGGACCTGGACTACTTCTGGGGTGCTATCAAGGCAATCAAGGCAGGCTCAAAGCCCTACCCCAGTCTATGAAACAAAAAGCTTTGGGGCCAAAGCCTGGGGCCTTACCTGTGACATTGACCTTTGAGGACCAGCAATCTAGAGCAAAAGCAGGAAGAACAGCTGGCAGGACTTTAAGCAAGAACATTCCAGATTGCTAGAAACCACTTCAATTAAGCACTTCACAAGGGTTTGTGAAGTCACATTTTTTAAATCATATTCCAGAGGTTTTCAACACTACCATCTACTTAATGAGGTTCGCTCAGCCCACCTGTGTTAAGTGACTGTGACCTCGGCAGAAACCGTTTAAAATAAAGTGACCATAAATGTCATTTCCTCTAAGCTTCAGAAAGGTTCCACGCAGAAGAACAGCATGATCTGGGTAGCCTGCTGTGTGGCAGGAGATTTAAATTTTTCATTAGGCAATGGACTTCTGTCTTATCAGAAAGCAAACGCTGTAAAGAGGGCTTCCTTTCTGCAGGTAAAATGGAGTCTGTGGCTTTTGCTTTCAATGAGCTTTGAACATGAGAGGGAGAAGGTGACTTGACAAATAAGATGTGCTCTTGCTAATACTAAACAAAGAGAAATACCACAAAGACACTCACTGACCTCCCCATGATCAGGTAAAAGGGCAGCAAGACTCGGTTCTTGCCTTCAAAGCAAATAAACAGACTTCACAGAGGAGAAGAACATGAAGTTGAGCTCTGAGGAGCTGTGCTTGACAGGAGGTCAGGGGTGTGAGGAGGGAGGGCAGGGAGGGGACTCAGGTCAGGCCCAGCAGTGGGTGTGAAACAAATGTCCAGTGAAATGGAGCAGATGGGCTTTGTTGCAAATACAGCATCCACAGGAGATCAGACTGAGAAGACAAGGTGATGTGGTGTATGTAACAAAGTCAAGCTGAGCTTAGACCTGCCTTGACGGGGGCAGGTTTTCAGTGTTGTCATGAGCCTGGACTAAAAGAGGGCTGTGGGCTCCAGGGAGCCACAGAAGGCTGGGGTGGTCACCATCATCGCAGGCTGGGGAAAGAGCTGGAGGGCTTTTTAGTTCTCCTGTCTGACTTTCTCCACCACCAATCTGTCGTGAGCCTGTAGGTTTCCATCTAAACTTGTCTATCGCTGCTTCACACCTGAAAGGTCTGTGGCTCAGAAACCAGGTATATTTTCTGGGATTACGAGACACTGAGGGGCAGGTGAGGATTCCAAACCAGAGAAGGAGGTCAGATGACCCCTGACCCCATCACCCTTAACGTCTTCATGGGCCAGAGGACAGACTCTGCAGATAGAATGTTCCAGCAGAGGAAGCCCAGAGCGCTGTCACCACACAGCAGTCATCCTTGCCCTCAACAGGTCCAGGCCAGGCATCCTGAACATGGCGCCTTATAGGTGGGTGTGTGGACAGAACGAGGAGCAGTGACAGGGAGAGGCTGTGCTGACCAGCTCCCGTGAGTGGGAGGACAGTGAGGTGACGGGCTGAGCAAAATCAGCCAGAAGGCAAAACATGGTACCGGTGGAATACAAGTAGCCAAAGGAAACAAACGTCCAGTAATCCTTGGACTCTGTGTAAAATATACTGGTTACCAGAGGGGCTGGTGGGGGGAGCAGGGTGTCAACCCGAGACTCTGCTGGGAGCTCAACCGCCCTGTGAGAGCTGAGCTCTGGAGCAGACACAGGGCCTCCCTCGCAAGCCAGGATCACACGGGAACCCAAGGCTATTCAACCCCAAACCTGTGTGGGCCATTAGCAGCTGCACAGTAGGTTTGGTGACTGAAGTTGGAGATAAACCGAAGGGACTAAAACCACTTTCAGTGGGAAGAGAAGAGTGGGACCCAAGCAGCTACAGGTTATCCTGAATGTCCAAGAATCAGCAAAGCTTTGGGACCTTCAAAAGATGGGCCAGCACCACCAGCACTCTCAGATGCCACGGAGCCTTTTGATAAGTGAGAGTACACGTAACTGGATCAGTGTCTCGGGCCTTTCCGTGTAAAGAGTAGATCTAGAAGACCTTGTGGTGCAACTGGAGACATGTTTATTCTTGAAGGAAAAGTTCTGTTACCTGAATTTCCTCAACCACCGATTTGAACTGGGGGATGCGCTCTGTCATGTTTTTGACCAATTCCATCGCATTGTCAAATCCTTTCACATATTCTCCATACATCTTAAGGAATGGGGCCAATTTCTGAAGGATGTCACCAATTCTTGGGGTAGTGTCCCTGTGGAAAAATACAGAAACAAAGACATTTAAGATTTTTATCAAATGAGAGAGCTGGATTCCAGATGAGTGATTGTTTCCACACATACCCTGTGCTGTATAAGTTCTGTTTGCCACAAGCCTGCTAGAGATTTTAGGGCTGTACCATGGTGGGGACTGGGGGGGGGGGCAGGCTACAGGGCTCTTGAGGCTCCTGACCACCCCAAACATATTGTCTCTACTAGTCAAAAGGCCATCTGGACAACAGAGAGATGATATTCAACTAACACCCAAAATGGATTACAACTATTTTTCTGTTCTATTCTATGTGGTTTAATTTTTTTAAAACAAATTTATTTGATTGTTTACAGATCTTGCACCACAGCTTCTAGCCATGGTGTGTAATGGAAAGATTTAGCAGAAATATTGGGCCTCACCCCTGCGTGGCGGGAGGGGTTCGTTTGACACTGACTAGCATGTGAGGGGAGGGAGGGGGGGCTGCCTTAGATGGGGCTTGCTCTTCTTACCATTCTTGCATTCGTTTTTCCAACTCTGGCAGTAGGAATTTACTATGGAAGGCATGTATGGATGCAATATTAGAAAAGATTTTATTCACCATCTCTGCTTGGAATGAGCCTCGGTTTGCTTCTTCCAATAGTTTGCAATAAAATACCTGTACAAGAGAATCAAACACACGTTACTTCAAGGGTACCCACTAAGCACCTAGCACTGGGCTGTGTAAGCACTGGGTTCTCAGAGGCTTTTCGTTGAAATGGTAGAAACGTTCACAGTGCAAAGTAAATCAGCCCTTTATGAAACCTTGGGTGGGTCTCTGGTTTTGTGGATGTGATGACTTTGTTTCCACTTAGAAGAGATGGTACTAAGTATACGCCTGGTTTGACTATTTCAGTTCTTGAATGTTTTCTTCTTTTTAGTGACAAGGAATGCCTGAGAACTTAACACACTGCTGGGGGGTATAAAGATCTCCCCCACACAGAGGCCGGGGCCTCAGCTCAGCAGCACCCACAAGCTGCTGTGCCTCGCAGCTGCTGCCTACTACCCATGGGCAGGAGGCTACTTTTTCCTAATGTCCAGATGGCAGTTCAGTTTCTAAACTCACCTCCACTGCATTTTCTTGGGAGGCAAAAAACACAAAATGTCCGTAGAGACTCTGGCAGAGAGGAGGCCATCCTAACTAAGACTCAGATTCTAAAAGATCAGCAAGAGCAACTAAGAAGTGAATAAGGTTTAAAAAATGGAAGCAAAGAAAGATGGAAAGAAAAACCCCAGTAGAGAAGAAGGCACCACTCCACCCTGGGAGTAGGCAAACGTCAGGCCCGTAACCCTCGGGAGGACAGCGGCCACCTGACCCCAACTCCATATGACCTGGCTGGTGGATGGTGAACTTTTTGGGAAAGTGGGTATTTGAGATGTGACCTTGTTATTTCAAAAACATAAGCCTGAACCTGGCCCCGAGGCACATGGAGGGAGGCACATGGCTCTGGGGACCAGGGACAAGGAGGTGTGCCCAGAACCCCAGCACCCCGAGGTTCACCTTTCAGTTCCTACCACCACCACCCATGAGGTCACCTCCTCTAGTCAGGAGTCTGTATTAATGCTCTATCAGTATCTTGCCTTTTTATCAGGGAGACAGGATTCAGGAGCTTTAATCTGTAACAGTCATCCTTAGGACACATCTAAAAACTTTCCTCACATGGAGTGATTTACCAAAAAGAAGGCTTGTGATGACCCCAAAGGCTGCACCTCAGGAAAGTACAAATCCTCGTCCCGTGCTTCTCCCATTCAGCAGACATGGACCGTGTGGCTTTGTGTCCAGCCCACAGTGGCCTGAGCTTCAGCTCCTCAGAGCTGGACAGCGCAGGGGCAGTGAGAATCATGCTGTTCTTACTTCCACTTCAGAATCACTGGTCTCTTGTTCAGATTATAGTAGCTGTCAGGGTGGCGATGGTAGAGTGCCCAGGAGCCCACAGGTGTTTGGGGGGAAGACAGGCAGAGGGATGTGGGTGTTCCTCTCTGTTCTCTATGGAGTGTAAGGTCTTTTGCCCAGGAGCTCACTGACAGCTGAAAATGCTACCGATTTCTGTGAGGAAGTAGCTTCACTGGCCCATAACAGACCCTCCTCTGCAGTTTCTAAAGCTCCTTAATTACTCAATGTAAATGATGTACAATGGCAAAGAATATAACCCTGAGAGGGAACCATACCTGTAAGAGGTCAAGTCGGCTGACATAAGCTCTTTCTGTGAGCAGAAGTTCATTGGCTATTTTGTGCAGTTTTTGCTCATTCGTCTCCTAAAAACAGAATAGACATTCATAGGTTAGGAACTGAAGCCTAGCCAGTAATGCGCACCCCAAAACACCTGTCATCATCTTGTTCCAACCACTCTGTGTGGCCTTGTTCCCCCTTGCTCTCTCAGACACCTCATCTCATTATTGGATCCACACATACAACTCTTTGCCTTAGAAAGTTATGGAAAATTTCAATCATAAATAACAGGAGACAAAACAGTAAGCAGCATCCAGGGTGCCGTCCATCATTGACATTCAAGAGCCACCGTCCACTTGCTGTTAGTCCTGTGTACGGATGCCCCTACCCTCACCCTTTACCCAAATTACTTTAAGTAAATCCAAATACTTTATTTCCTTAGTCCATATTTATTTAACCCTTAGCTATACTTGCATTCGTTCTAGTTCTGTGAGGGTTAGGCTGTTTTTCCTTGTTAGCTGCTCTGTGTTGTATCCCCTGTGATGCTTCAAAAGCCATGACATTTGGTGAGGGGCACCACCTGGAGCTGGCAGACACCAGTGCCCCTCACTATCATACCACTGTCCAGACACATCTCTTCTGGAAATCTGTTATCCTGGCCATGTTCCATCCCCTTCCTGTTTCCTGGCTTTAGAACCTGAACTGCTTAAAAGCAGCTCCCAACGGGATATTAGCATCTGTCCTTTAAGTTCTCACCAATGCTGCTGGACTCTGCTCATATTTCTTTCAAGTCCAGCCGGTTAGCAGTTGTCCTTGTACAGTCCAGTCCCGTTTTCTCTTTTTGGTTTTAGGTGGGAGGGCTCTTACCCAACATGTGGCACTGTAAGAGGAGTCTTTCCAAAACTGTTCTGGGTAATCCTCCTTGCTACAGAAAGAAAAGCCTGCTACAGCCCTCGCCTCACTGACAGCACAAAACCCAGACACTGCGACACTCAGAGCTGCAGAAATCTCCTCTCTAGCTTTGTAAACTTCTTTCTCCTCTTCCCTGCACAGGCTGGCCCCTCTCAGCACAGGGACCTGCCCCTTTCTCCAGCACACCCGGGGCACTGTCCAGCCTCTCCCCTGTCGTCCCTCTGCCCGGCGAGTGCCCACGCTGCCTCTCTGGTGCTAAGATGCATTTCCCTCTTGGTTCCACTGCTGTGTTCAAGCACCCAGACTCCCCAGGCTTGGCTCAGCCAGAACACATATAATACTTGGCTCTGAAACACCTTTTCAGGCAGAAATTTCTACCTGGTAACTTTGCTGAAATACCCTTTCATTCTAGCAGAGCATGAAGTGTAGCAAGACTTTAGGACAAACTCTAGTACCAAAAAAGCCCAAAGTATATTTTAAATCAGTGTCTAATTTGTATAAGTGCTCCATATTTTTTTAAAAGGAAAAGGTGAGAAATTTAATTACATTAAACTTAAGATAGCTTAAGTTTAATTGCATTAAACTTCAGACAGCTTCATTCTTATAACCATTGGGTTAAATATTTTAGGTAGATTCCCATGATTCTGGGTATAAATGCCACATTTTAAGCCGTGTCAACCTGCCTCTGCTGTGTACACTGCATCCATCTAAAATGCATGTTGCCTTCTTGGGGCTGCACTGAGATGAGATATTTTTGTAGGAAGTCTTTAGGCAAAGCAACTGTTTAAATAATGCGTGGTCTCAGAAATACTGACATAGTAACTATGTACACACAAATTCCTAACGAGCCAGGTTCTGATTTACCTTAACAGAACATGACGGCAGGCATCCCTCCCGAATTTGATGATATCCAGATATGGTTAGTGTGTCCTCCCCATTACCATGCAGCCTTTCCTTTGGGGACATAGACCTACTCCCCAGATTTAAGAGAGGTCCTGGATGAATCAAGAGCGCAGAGAAATCCCTCCATGAGGAAAGAAGACATACACCGAGGGCTTGGAAAACAAGATTCCCTTATTTCAAGGAAGAACCATGGGAGCAGACATCTTCCTTTCTTTTTTAAGATTTTTAATTATTTATGCATACAGAAATGGGGTACAGGCCAGAGGTGCAGGGGCAGTGAGAGGAGTCACCAGAGACAGAGTGGGGAACAGAACAGGCAGATCGACAAAGTACACGGCTGAGAGGAGCAGCGGGCAAGACAGGACAGGTCTGCCGCACCATGTGGGTGACGTCACCTCTGGGGCCGGGCCGGGGATGGAACTTCCACTGAGGCAGCCACAGCTTGGTTTCGCTGTACAGTGCAGCACTCCAACCTGCTGCTCTACCAGGGAGGGCCCGGGAGCAGACATCTTTCTTGGCTGCTCCCTGCAAGTGAGGGCACCCAGGCTCAAGAGCACAGCACATTCCTCCCCAAGCAGATGGAGTCATGAGTACCACCCTGTGAGCTATGGCTAGAACCACCCAGGAAATTTAGATAATATGAAACGTGTTCAGTATATTCCACAAAACTGAAAAATATTCAAATCATTTTTTAAACCATCACTACAGAGAAGTAAAATACTTACTGGAATGTTAATGTGACTTTCATTTAACCACATCATAACTACGTAAGAGAGTTATCCGCAATTCAAAGGAAGAGATTAATATGCCAGTCTTCATACTCGCAGCAAACACTGACTTCCAGCAACACTACACACTGTATGTGTGTGTGTGTGTGAGTGTGATGTGAACCAGATATGTTGATCTATATGTATATTTTTTAATTTGGGTAGAAAAACTGGGGTGTAGGCCAGAGGTGTGCGTACAGGGGATGAGAGGATTCACCAGAAACTGAGTGAGGAGAACAGGTATATTGACTGAAATCTACTGCTGAGAGAAGCAGTGAGCAAGACAGGAGAGGTCTGCTGTGTCCTATGTGGGTCAGCTCCCTGGTCAGGGATTAAACTCAGCCATAGTGGGATAGCACTCAGACTTAACTCCTAGGGCACCAGGGAGGCCCCTAATCTATAGTTTACAAATAGTAAAATTCACCCTCCCTGGGGACAGTTTTAGGACAAATGCTTATAATCAAGTCACCACCACCACAATCAAGACAGAACAATTCTCTGGTCTTCTGCAGTCAACATCACCCCACTCCCACCACCAGCTCCCAGGAACCACTCATCTGCCCTTTTCTGGAATGTGGGGTGAGTGGGGTCTCACAAAGGAGTCTCTTCAGTCTTGCCACTCCTGCTTATCAGCAGGCATCTGTCATACCCCAGTTGGCTTTAACTTACAATGGTAAGTAACCTGACTCACTCACTGTCTTTTCTATGTTCTCATTCTAGTTCTGATGAATATCCTTAAAGGAAAGAATGCAGCAGAGTTTGTGCCAGGGCACAATAATACATCTTTTATAAGACAGAATTCATTAACCCACAGGCTGTGGGCCTATTGTTATTCTACTAAGAAGTCACCCCAAAGACTTTGCTACCCCCTGTGGATCTATTATTGCTCTATTGAGAACCTGAAGGCTTCCATATCCCCCAGATCTTAAATACAAAATTTATCAAAACAAAAACAAAAACAAAAACAAAAACAAAACCAACTTTTGCTGACTGCAAATCACACTGCAGCTGAACTTAGCAAACTGTGGAAACCCTGGTCAGACTTTGCAAAACCCAAGGGGGCTGCCAGCAGTGATAAGAAAACTGTGCTCCTCCTTCATATGATGGTATTGTAACCCAAGGCCACTGACCTTAAGAAAACAACATCCAGAGAGGCAGGAGTAAGTTTGCTGATGTAGGCTTTAGCCACTCACTATTTGTACAAAGCTACCAGGCATTTTGCATGGCAGTGAAGAGATGCCAAGCTCCTAGAGCCTGAGGGGACAGTTGCAGCACAAATGCTTATAATCAAGTCACCACCACCACAATCAAGACAGAACAATTCTCTGGTCTTCTGTAGCCAATGTCACCCCACTCCCACCATCAGCTCCTGGAAACCATTCATATGCCCTTTTCTAGAATGTGGGGTGAGTGGGGTCTCACAGAGGAGCCTCTTCAGTCTTGCCACTCTTGCTTATAAGAAGCCATCTGTCATATCCCAGTTGACTTTATCTAACACTGGCAAGGAACCTGACTCACTGGCTCTCTTTTCTATGTTCTCATTCTAGTTCTGATGAATATCCTTAAAGAAAAGGATGCAAGTTAATCAGAAGAACAATAACACTGTCTTTAATGAGGACAGCTAATGTTTACTGCTTCTCAGGAACCAGACAATGTTGTGATCATCTGACACAAACTGACCCTGACAAATCTATAACATAGGTGCCATTATTACTCCTACTTTACAGGCTGCACACACACACACAACACAACACATACAACACCCCAAAGGCTCAAAGAGGCTAGATAATTTGTCCAGTGTCACACAGTTCGAGGGGACTGAATCCGACTCCAACCAAAGACAACGGTGTGATTTTAAATAACTATTCGGTAAATGGTTGATTCTCTTTCTTTGTAAGGCAAAGCAAGACTGTAAGTGCCCGCCAGGCAGCAGAAAAGTGAAACACAAGCTGTCTGCTTAGTGAAGGAGTGTGGTATGACTATGCACTTGAATTTACTAGGTATTCATTTTTTTTCCAACACAAAATCTATGTAAAGCAGACTTTTTAGAACTTTGGTTATAAAAAATTAGTTTAGAACACAACTGTGAACACTTTGGGGGAGAAATATAAGCTCGACTGTGTTACATGGGGTTTTGTAACACTCTCAGGCTTACGCTAAAATAACGGCCAGAGTAGTATTGCATAGCTGACACATGAGGCTATAGCTTTAGTTTTAAAAATAACACTAAACAGGTAAAGTTGTACAGTACTATGTGCTACTTCAAAATTCTATAATCTCTGCTCTGTGCCCAGCACAGTACTAAAAAGCCATTTATTCTTTAGAAAATAGTAATTGTCACATGACAACTGATTTAATAACCCTATTTTCTCCCACTGGAATCTAATAAACAGGCTTCACTTTTCAAAGTGATTGTAATCATGCTGTTTAAAAGGCATCTCTCTTTTCATATCCCCCTAAAATATCAGGGATTGGCTTTCTTTTTTCACTTGCAAATATATGAT